GAAAAAATATAATATAAATCATTACAATGTATACAGTGAAAAAAAGGCTGCGATTGCTGAGCGAGTTATTCGTACGATTAAATCAATGATTTGGAAACAGAATAGTTTCCATGGTAACTACAAATGGATCGATAATTTACAACAAGTTGTCATTGAATACAATAATAAAGTTCACAGAACAATAGGAATGAAACCAGTGGATGTTAAGAAAAAGCATGAAAAACTATTGATACACACAAATTTTCCAAATTTCATATTGGTGATTATGTACGAATTTCAAAATATCGTGGAGTTTTTGACAAGAAATACAATCCAAATTGGTCTAATGAAATTTTCACTGTTTATAAAATAAAACTGGGAAACCCTATTACATACTATTTAAAAGACTATAAATGTGAAAAAATTATTGGAGGATTTTATAAGGAGCAGCTACAAATAGTTAAACATAAAGACAGTTATTTAGTTGAAAAGGTATTAAAGAGAAAAGGAAATAAAATTTTTGTTAGGTGGCTAGGTTTTGATAGTTCTCACAACTCATGGATAAATAAAAGTGACGCAATATAATAAAGAGGGGATAGCAAAATATGTAAAAGACGTTCCACCTGCAAGATTTTGTTTGTTCTTATTGAATATCGAGAGAGAAAACATGTTCATTGTGGATATCCAAGGTTTCTCTTTTCCCGGAGAAGATGTCTTTCTTTGTAGGGAAATTGCTATTTTAGATCTTACTACAGAAAAGATTATACACAGACTGGTTGATTTACCGGTAACAGAAGCAATGGTAAATAAATCATATATAAAATGTATCGAACAACAGATTGTGCAAAACCACGGTTTAAGTTGGCAATCTTGGCATTTTTGTGATGATCAGCTAAAATATAAGAAATTTCAAAATTTTTACACGACAACATGTTAGATGAAACAATATTGGTAAAAAATCGGGAAACAAAAAAATATTTGGAACAATTTATGGAAAACCGCATTGATTGTATAGAAGATGAACCTAATGTACTTTCAGATGAGACTATGAAACATATTTTTAAATCTCACCCGTGTTTCACCATACCAATGAAGATTTACAATGTGCTCTAAACAATGTGTTTAATATTCATTATTGGTATAAGTATTGTAGAAAGTGTTTACAATAAATATTAAAATCTAACAATAGTCTTTTATTAATCGACGACCACCACATTTATCTTCAAATTCATATCAACCATGAAGCTTATAAAACAAGAGACTACGCTAGATGTAGAGAATAACTTATTGGAACCAACTGAGAATAAGTTTAAAAAACATGGAGATTTGTTCCCTTCAACTATTAGATGTATTATAGTTGGCCCTTTAAATTGTGGAAAGACAAATGTGATGATAAGTTTATTAGAACATGCTAATGGATTAAAATTTGAAAATGTATATATTTATTCAAAATCGTTGATGCAACCAAAGTACAAATATTTAGAGACATTGCTAGAACCGATTAAGGGAATAGGATATTATACTTACAGTGGAAGTACAGATATAATGCATCCATCTGAAGCGAAACCCAATTCAGTTTTTATCTTTGATGATGTTGCATGTGACAACCCAGATGTTATTCGGGAATACTTTAGCACATTTGAGTCAAAGTTATGCAAAAATACCTAAGCATCTTATAAGAGACAATGCAAATGTTTTAATTATATTTAAACAAGACCATTTAAATTTAAAACACATTTACAATGACCATGTTGGCACTGATATCGACTTTGAAGAATTAAAAAGGATATGTTCAGTATGTTGGCAAGAGAATTATGGATTCTTATCAATTTTTAAAGATAGTAATATAAAGGACGCTTGATATAGAAAAAAATTGATCAATATTTTTTGTTAGAATAAAGTTGAAGTGTATCTAAGAAATAAATAAATACATAGTATTTAAAACTATTTTTATTATAATCTATATACATATCACCTTACTTTTTATTGTGTCCGTTGACTTAAAAAATGTTCAATATTTACATCATCCACATCATATTCATCTACTTCTTGTGGAACAATCGTTCGTTGTTTCTTGTACTGTGGTGGTGGTTGATTGGATGTTGATGCCATCTCCTCAATTGTGTCTTGTATGTATAGGGGTCTCTTTAAACCAATTTGTTTTTGAATTTGCTGATGCCTCTCAAACTCTTCAAACTCATCATCCAACAGGTTGAACCTATACCTCTTGGCGACATCTTCCAAAATTTGGAATTCCTCATCAGACTGGATTTTTGTACGCATGTACCGAACGGGAAGAGTTCCAAATTTCCTCTTCAAGGTTTTACTATTTGGTGTGTAGGTGAGGCTTATAAATACCTTATTTCCCTTTAATGAAACCTCTTTAACACCATATCTGGAAAAAGTTTGGAGATAAACCAATAACATATTACCAAAATATATTATATAGATAAACCAATACCATCATGGTAACGAGTAGCATAAGTAGAAAAAGTGAATAACTAATATTTACACAAACAATAATAAGGTAATATATAAAATCAATATGGTGAAATAAACAAGTAGAAAAAAAGTGGATAAATAATACTTACACAAATAATTCCTTCAGGATCACAAAGGCCTTCTTAATCGGAAAATCAACAGGATCTTCAGTTAACATAACTAGTTGACAGGGTACTGTTGCCATTGTACTGCTTGCTACTCACAATTTGATTATCCTTAGACACCCGAATATATTTATATAAGAGAACGAGAGAAAAAAACCTTTTAACATTAACATGACTTTGTAATTGAAAAACAACTTATTTGCGTCAGAGTTGATCTTATAAAAATTCAATCACGATATCTTGTTTTGCATAAAGTTGAACTTTTGTGACCTATAAAAATCTTATCAGTGTTATTGACAACTAATCTTGTTTTGCATAAAGTTGAACTTTGTTGACCTATAAAACTCTTATCAGTGATACTGACAACTAATTTTACATGTACTAAATTTTAATTTGTTGCTTCTACAAATTAAGTCACGGTGACTAATCACGTTTAATAACAACTAGTTTACATTTTGTTGAATCTTGGAAAATAAAATCACGTTGACTAACCAGTTACAGAAATACGTCAATTGATTTTTTATATGACTATGGATAAATATGAAAGCATCCTTCAACTTTGGTTTTATTTGAGTTTTCTTTGTGTTGTGAACGTACACTCATCAACCATGAGCCAACAAGTTGTTGATCAGATATCCAACGTAATTGTGGAGAAAATGGAATCAGTAAGTAGATTAATTACGAGAAAATCTTATTTACAATATATAATATTAAATTATTTATTATATAAGATATTTAAAAAAAAATTATATTAAATAAATGTTTAAAGAATAGAGCTGTTTGTGTTCGAAATTTTCATTGTATAGAAGAAAATTTAACCATTCTTAGAACGTATCTTGAAAACTTTAAGAACAGATTAAAGGCTAAAAAAACTCTTAAAAGGACTTTATTGTGGCAGGATGTGGAATCTTGTTTTAATAGTAGAATAAAAACAGGTCTAATAATTAATTTAAGATTTAAAGAACAAAAAAAATTTTTGGAAAAATCTTTTAGGAGTTTTTCAATTCAAATTAGAAAAAGTTTGTTGTCATGTCTTTTAAAAGTTAATTTGATTTTTTATGGTGTTTTTATTAAACTACAAAATGGTGAAACCTCTATTAAACATTTTTCAACCAAAAATGAAATAATTGATCAAAATACAAACCTCAAGGATTGGTATAACATTAATTGTATAAATGTGATTTTAAAAAAATTTGAGGAATTTCAAGAAAGAGACAGTGGTTGGGCACTATCACAGATTCTACATTTAAAAGTAAATATAAATAGGTATAATCCAATACTGGGTGGTATTTCCACTTATGTTGAATTACCTAAATGGATAAAAAACACAAGGAGTGTAATTAATGTTATCCTCATTTTAGTAAGGTATTAAAATTCCATAATATTAGTTTTCCCATGGATATAAAAGATATCCTCAAATTTGAAAATTTAAATAAACTTTCGATAAATGTTTTTACAACAAAAGGAAAGGAAATTTTACCTTTGATATTACCCTCATATAAATTTACTTTTAATTCATTCTTATGACAATAGTACAAACAATAATAATAGTAGTGATGATGAAGACAATGATCTTTTGTGTAGAAAAGGCCTATTTCATTTTGCTTATATTAAATATTTTTCACGATTATTAAATCAGCAGGTTAAAAATGTTCGAAACAAAAAATGGTTCTGTGAAAGATGTTTTAATCACTTTAGTAATAATATTTATTTACAAAATCATTTAGAGGACTGTATTAATTTAAATTCAGTTAAGATGGTTTTACCAACAGAACAGAATTATATTATGAAATTTAAAAATTTTAAACATAAAGAACTTGTTCCTTTTGTTATCTATGCTGATCTAGAAAGTATTCTTATAAAATGCACTGCCATTGACAATGATCCTAATATAAAAACTCATTTGTCTCAAAAACATGAAGCTTTTAGTATTGCTTATTATTTTAAATCTTCTTATTATAATTCTTTATCATACTATAAATCATTTACCGGTCACGATTGTCAAGTGTAATTTGTAAGAGAACATGAAAAGATAGCCAAGAGAGTAACTAGAGAAAATTTATTTCAAAAATTTAAAAAGTTGAATCCATTAACTGATAAGGAAAGACATGATTTTACTTTTAGTTTTGTTTGTCATATTTGCACTAAACCTAAAGTTGATCCATTGGATGAAGTTAGAGATCATTGTCAGATTACAGGGAAATTTCGAGGGGCTGCTCATAGATCTTGTAATGCTAACTATCAAAATTTTTATACAATTCCTATCGTATGTCATAATCTCTCTGGTTATGACGCGTATTTTTGAATTAAAAGCCTTAATACTTACATTAAAGGGAATATATCACTGCTTCCTTTAAACAAAGAGAGGTATATATCATTTACCAAATACATTCAAGATACAAATATTTGTTTTAGATTTATAGATTCTTTTAGATTTATGTCTGATTCATTAGATAAACTTTCCTATAATCTAGATGATGATCAAAAACACATAACGAGACAGTACTTTGACAATGAGTTTAAATTTAATCTAGTTAAAAGAAAAGGTGTTTTCCCATATGGATACCTAGATAATTGGAAAAAGTTGCAAGATACTTGCTTGCCACCTATTGATAGTTTCTTTAGTACAATTAATAATGAGGGAATAACTCACGAGGACTATCAACACGCCTGTACTGTTTGGAACACATTTGAGATAAAAACATTGCAAGAGTACGCCGAATTATATTTAAAAACTGATGTATTACTTTTAAGTGATATTTTTAAAAACTTTAGACTGATGTGTTTAAAAACATACGGGTTAGATAGTTTGCATTATTTTACTTTACCAGGGTTAGCGTTTGATGCCATGTTAAAAGTAACAAATGTAGAATTGGAACTTTTAATAGATATTGACATGGTTTTGTTCTTTGAAAAGGCAAAACGAGGAGGAGTGTCACAATGAAGTAATAGATATGCAGAAGCCAACAATAGATACATTGGGGATAAATATAATCCTAGTAAGAAGACCTCTTATGTAATGTACTTGGACGTTAACAATCTGTATGGTGCGGCTATGAGTTATTATCTTCCTTATGGAGGATTTGAATGGATACCCCTAAATGAAATTTATAATTACAACATATTAAATTGTCCCAATGATAGTGAATACGGATACATACTGGAAGTTGACATTGACTATCCAAAAGAACTTTTTAATTCACACAAAGATTTACCGTTGTGTCCAGAACATATAACTTCACCAACTTCTAATTCTACCATTAAAAAGCTCTTAACTACATTGTATGATAAAAAAAGTATGTTATTCACTATATGTACTTAAAACAAGTTATTAGCTTGGGACTGAAGCTTACTAAGATTCCATGCAAACGTACGGATGGCCTAGTTTGACCTTGAGGGCGTACAAGAAGTACAAGAAGTGATCGACAATGACCAGAAGGGGTAGTTGAAGCCAAGAAGCAACAATGACCAGAGGACCGTCAGAACTCATCGCTTATCTCTAGATCTCTTCTTCTTTCCCGAAGACCCCGTGTCCTCTGTCACCTACCTGTTGTCACTTCTTTGTCTAACCTACCTACTCTTTGTCACTTCTTTGTCTAACCTACCTACGTAACTTCTTTGTTCCACCTACCTGTTGTCACTTCTTTGTCTAACCTACCTACTCTTTGTCACTTCTTTGTCCTACCTACCTGTTGTCACCTCTTTGTTCCACCTGTCACTTCTTTGTCCCACCTACCTGTTGTCACTTCTGTGTCCCACCCAGCTGTTGCAGACAATGACCAGAGGACGAACGCTCTCCACCCTGTATGTTGAGTGCAAAACTGATCCCTTATCTCTAGATCTCCTCTTCTTTCACGAAAGTTGTACAGGGTGATCGCGTTTGGTAAAAAGTTTGTACAAACTTGTTGCTTAGCCCTAACTACACAGCCCAGCCTAGCCTAGCCAGATTAGTCTAATTTGTACTCATAAAAAAAAGGAAAAGAAAATGCATAGTAATATGTATATTTAATAGAAGTAGGTAAATAAAACAATAGACGAGTGATATTTTAAAAATAGGTTATTGATTCTATTGTACTCATAAACTCTACGGTTATATTTTATACTCCTGGCTATCCTACGATAGTAGTCGCGAGTTACTGAGTCCATATAACTAGCCTCCATGAAATTATCATGATGTAATGGATCTCCAAATGGTATTTGGGAATTAAACATTCTTCTATAATTTTTTACTTCTTCAGTTACTATATTCTTCTTAATTTTTAAAAGTGCTTTTTGGTTGTTAGGAATCGACAAGTCTAGAGGCTGAAATCAAAACATAAAAATAAGTAATAAGGAATATTTTGGTTTTTTTGTTTACAAATACCTGTGTGTTATGATGTAGGCATGGTTTTCAAACATTTTAAGTCAGGTAAAATGTCTGTATGCATGTCTACAGATGTTTTACAAAAACAAAAAAATCTCTTACACCCAATACATGGTATTGTTCCATACATTTTGTTATACCAGGTAGGTATAGTTTGAGGTATTATCGTTTTTTATGTCTTAAATTTTAAGGCTGCAAATCTTTTTTGGTCAGTAAAAACTTTTTCCCATTGTAATTGGAAACTGTTCTAAATGAAATACTTATTTGTAGATTAATCAGATAAAGAAAATCTGATGTACAAAATAGAAAGAGAAGTATTACTAAAAATATTTTAAAAAAATTATTTATCATTAAAGCCCCATGGTAAGTGTCAGTGCTGAAATAACTAACCATTCTTTTATCATCATATGAACTAAGTGCAACTTTTCTTTGTATTATTGTATAGACGTCATGTTTTTTAGAGACAATAGAATTTTGGGAAACCTCTACAATGGTTTTTTTAAATAAACTTTCGTAATAATCCTCATAGGACAGTGTCTTTAATGCAGATTTTTTATTCCTTTAGCCTTTTTAATTTCCTCATTCTGATTTAAAATTTTCATGATATACATTTTTGATCTTAAACCTATAAAGTGTGTCATGATTTGACCTTTGTTTTCATCTTTCATTAGACCTAGTACTTTTTTATTCCGTAAGGGAATGTTATAGACATTATTTTCAGTGTACTCTGATGTATCAAACTTATGAATATCCTCTTTAATATGAGTATATATATGATCAACAAAAAACTGATATATTAAACTATCTGTGTCAGTGTATTTGGCTTTATCCTGAAATTTCTTTTGAATATAATTATAATGGAAGTCGTATAAAATGGTTTTTGAATATCTAAAATACACATTCCAATGTAAATAAGTTTATTTAAATTAATTTTTTGTTTTTGCATTTCAATTATTACCATATTTTTATCAAATATGGTACAACTATGAAAATTCGATTGGGAAATGTAGTAGTTTGCACCGTATCTACCACCAGGTTTGTTTACAATCTTTATGTCCTTGTATTTTCGGACATTTTCGATACTTTTACCATACGGGGCATTTATAAACATTTTAAACAAGTTTTTTTCAAATTAATTTTTGCTCTCCTTTCTCAATTCAATGTTTAAATCAATATATTTCTTTAACCAAGGTGATTGTTTAAATTTTAAACATCGGTGAATCTTAGTAAGCTTCAGTCCCAAGCTAATAACTTGTTTTAAGTACATATAGTGAATAACATACTTTTTTTATCATACAATGTAGTTAAGAGCTTTTTAATGGTAGAATTAGAAGTTGGTGAAGTTATATGTTCTGGACACAACGGTAAATCTTTGTGTGAATTAAAAAGTTCTTTTGGATAGTCAATGTCAACTTCCAGTATGTATCCGTATTCACTATCATTGGGACAATTTAATATGTTGTAATTATAAATTTCATTTAGGGGTATCCATTCAAATCCTCCAAAAGGAAGATAATAACTCATAGCCGCACCATACAGATTGTTAACGTCCAAGTACATTACATAAGAGGTCTTCTTACTAGGATTATATTTATCCCCAATGTATCTATTGTTGGCTTCTGCATATCTATTACTTCATTGTGACACTCCTCCTCGTTTTGCCTTTTCAAAGAACAAAACCATGTCAATATCTATTAAAAGTTCCAATTCTACATTTGTTACTTTTAACATGGCTTCAAACGCTAACCCTGGTACAGTAAAATAATGCAAACTATCTAACCCGTATGCTTTTAAACACATCAGTCTAAAGTTTTTAAAAATATCACTTAAAAGTAATACATCAGTTTTTAAATATAATTCGGCGTACTCTTGCAATGTTTTTATCTCAAATGTGTTCCAAACAGTACAGGCGTGTTGATAATCCTCGTGAGTTATTCCCTCATTATTAATTGTACTAAAGAAACTATCAATAGGTGGCAAGCAAGTATCTTGCAACTTTTTCCAATTATCTAGGTATTCATATGGGAAAACACCTTTTCTTTTAACTAGATTAAATTTAAACTCATTGTCAAAGTACTGTCTCGTTATGTGTTTTTGATCATCATCTAGATTATAGGAAAGTTTATCTAATGAATCAGACATAAATCTAAAAGAATCTATAAATCTAAAACAAATATTTGTATCTTGAATGTATTTGGTAAATGATATATACCTCTCTTTGTTTAAAGGAAGCAGTGATATATTCCCTTTAATGTAAGTATTAAGGCTTTTAATTCAAAAATACGCGTCATAACCAGAGAGATTATGACATACGATAGGAATTGTATGAAAATTTTGATAGTTAGCATTACAAGATCTATGAGCAGCCCCTCGAAATTTCCCTGTAATCTGACAATGATCTCTAACTTCATCCAATGGATCAACTTTAGGTTTAGTGCAAATATGACAAACAAAACTAAAAGTAAAATCATGTCTTTCCTTATCAGTTAATGGATTCAACTTTTTAAATTTTTGAAATAAATTTTCTCTAGTTATTCTCTTGGCTATCTTTTCAAGTTCTCTTACAAATTACACTTGACAATCGTGACCGGTAAATGATTTATAGTATGATAAAAAATTATAATAAGAAGATTTAAAATAATAAGCAATACTAAAAGCTTCATGTTTTTGAGACAAATGAGTTTTTATATTAGGATCATTGTCAATGGCAGTGCATTTTATAAGAATACTTTCTAGATCAGCATAGATAACAAAAGGAACAAGTTCTTTATGTTTAAAATTTTTAAATTTCATAATATAATTCTGTTCTGTTGGTAAAACCATCTTAACTGAATTTAAATTAATACAGTCCTCTAAATGATTTTGTAAATAAATATTATTACTAAAGTGATTAAAACATCTTTCACAGAACCATTTTTTGTTTCGAACATTTTTAACCTGCTGATTTAATAATCGTGAAAAATGTTTAATATAAGCAAAATGAAATAGGCCTTTTCTACACAAAAGATCATTGTCTTCATCATCACTACTATTATTATTGTTTGTACTATTGTCATGAGAATGAATTAAAAGTAAATTTATATGAGGGTAATATCAAAGGTAAAATTTCCTTTCCTTTTGTTGTAAAAACATTTATCGAAAGTTTATTTAAATTTTCAAATTTGAGGATATCTTTTATATCCATGGGAAAACTAATATTATGGAATTTTAATACCTTACTAAAATGAGGATAACATTAATTACACTCCTTGTGTTTTTTATCCATTTAGGTAATTCAACATAAGTGGAAATACCACCCAGTATTGGATTATACCTATTTATATTTACTTTTAAATGTAGAATCTGTGATAGTGCCCAACCACTATCTCTTTCTTGAAATTCCTTAATTTTTTTTAAAATCACATTTATACAATTAATGTTATACCAATCCTTGAGGTTTGTATTTGGATCAATTATTTCATTTTTGGTTGAAAAATGTTTAATAGAGGTTTCACCATTTTGTAGTTTAATAAAAACACCATAAAAAATCAAATTAACTTTTAAAAGACATGACAACAAACTTTTTCTAATTTGAATTGAAA